TTGATATCTGGTGATTTGAAAAAAGAACAAGAAAGTGAAGGTGCCCTTTGCTCAAATGATTTAATTTCTTCAAATAAAAGGATCCCAATCATATTGAAACAAATTGAATTACTTATTATGTATATGTTGCATTGTGAGAACCACATCACTTAATAAACAACTTGTGGTTCCCACAATGGCCGGGTTGTTCATTGTAGGAACAACTTGTACTTAATATAATATTGTTTAAACCACAAGTACTTCTTCCGTATTGTCATAACCACACAGGGTTCCCACAATATTGTCGGATCCACATACACTTACCACAATATATTTCTAACCACATATGCTTATCACAATGTTTCAATAACCACATATGGCTCTGACAATATTTCAATAACCACACAGCTAAGTTATATTGCCCTTGATACTCAAAATATCAGAGATAATTAAATCAATAGACAAATTTTATCAATCGAAAGTCTACACCAGCATGCTTGATAAGCTATACTTCAAAAACAACCTATATTGTGCAGCCCATTAACCATTTTTCGTAGCAGATCAGTGAAGTATAACATCATGTCGTGGAACACGAAAGCACTAATATACAAATCGAATCAATCCTTTGAAGCCTTAAGGTCAGATAACAGCTAGTCATTAAATAGTGTCTAGTTTATGAATATAACAGTTGGTTCAGTGTAGTTCAGCTCTTTATAGCGGACAAATTTGAAATATATTGTAATTCTCAGAGAAAATATTCAACATTTACAGCTAATATTGGAATTCTAACTACAATTATTCCTTATTTGTAATGGGCATTGATGTGCAGCTGAATAGAGTTATCCAATACTTAATCTATATACATCTGGCCAGCTTCTTCCAGCTTCTTGTACGATTTGCAATCATATCGGAGTAAGTATGTATATCTATACTCCTTCTTTAACACACAATAGTAGGAAATAAAATCAATCTTGTTAAGAAATGTGAAACATCTCTTTTTTTTCTGTTCATCTCCAAACAACCTATTCCAAATTGCTCTTATTTACTACTCTCCCCTTTAAAAGATTATGTAAAGCATAGTTGGTTTCATTGTTTTACTGGGTACATTTTCTACAAACCCAGCTTACTTGTCTGAGCGTTGTTCACTGGAAAATTGGGTTACATTGGTGAGCATTCAGCACAACAGAGTTGATCTTTTAGGGAAAATAAAGCTTTAAGATAAATGTGACTTTAGTAGATTTTGAAACTTTATAGCATAGTATTGAAAATCCCAGCCTCTAAGCCAACCCTAACTCAAACCTAAAATACATCTCATCTTCATGATACTAAATAAAACATCGAGAGTAATGATAAAAAGCATTCCGAACAGTTGAGTCCATGTGTCAAAATCTATGCGTCTACTTGTAGTTTTTATATACTTATTTCAAATTGTTTATTAGTTTCAAACATCCATAAAACTCTAAGGTATTCATAAAAAAATTATGGTAACTATCTAATAATTTGAGTCAAGTTTATGTACAACTTTTGACTATATATTCTCTCACCTCTATTATTTTAGCATTGTTATTTCTCTTTAACCTCCATTTTAGTGACAAGTTCAAAATGATCAGGCAATTTCTAAGAATTTTTCTTTTAGTACTGCTGCATAATTACCAATAAAGATTTAGTACTAATTAGCTTATCAAGACTTAAAAAAATATTCTCATAACTTCCAATAAGATGAAGAATTCTAAACATAAAGCTTGGTCAGTTAACTGAACATTAGAGCTCATATAAAGTTGACAGGTTTCGAATCCTTAACTCTAATCCACATACAATGATTCAGGAAAAAACTAAATCATTCATAAGATGTACCAAGTTGTAGGTTGAAGATCGTTGCTAGTACAGACATGTTTTTCTTTCACAAATTCTATATTAAACTTATTCAAAACTTAACTATATAACTAATAGACACTTTGAGCTCTTTATATATTCATTCTATTAGATTTCTTCTTGTTTAATTGACATTTGTTTTCATTTAGTTTATCACTACAACTTCTATTAATCATACCATCTATTTGTTCTCTTTTGCATCAATATCATAGGAGTTTAGATCATACATATAAGATTCCTTTTAGATCATGCATATTTGTTTCTTTGTCTTTAACTAATATAACACAACATCATACTAGATACATTTAACATTTCCTTTAAGTCACACCATTAAATCAGATCATTTATAACCACACCATTTATGATCACACCATTTATAATAACACCATTTATAATCACATTTATTTTGATATTTGATCATAATATTCAACACCTATGACAAAGCCCTCATAAATATCTAACCAACTCATCTTCCAGACTTCCAGAAGTTCCCTTAAGATGCACTGATAGATTAAATGTACACAAATGACCAGCAAAACTGTCAGCTAAAGAGAAAGAAGCCAGATAGAAACAAGATGTTAAGATCAAGTTGTCTATTAGTTAGCATTAGATAGCATTGTACTAGCTAAATATAGTGCTTCCGATTGTTAATAACCTACAACATTCAAAAGAATCGAAACGCATTTATTATAACTCGCAGAACACCTTTACTAAAATTGATGATACCACTATTATTTGCTGGAGCATACAAAGTTAAGTTATTTATCTAGGTATAAGGTGTGTGGTTGGAATCTGTTATATTTGGTTGCTTCTTCACTCTTTGTAAATACTGTTTAGTGTGGTACTCTATAGTTAGGTTCAACGCACTCAGCTTATTAAATGAGTGAAATGAGCAACTAAGATTCTCTCGTGGGTGTAGCAGTACAACAGCAGTGTTATTGAATAAATGTGTCACATTAATAATGTTAAGTGGTTCTATAAATTAATCGAAGACCGTAAATTACATTTAATTCTCTACTATCTTTGATGTCATTGGTGATATTGAATATAGATACTTTTAGTTTAAAATTTATAACAGCAAAACCGTCATCAGCGAATCAATTTGTTTTAATCGGTATTGAATATGTGAATATGTTGTGTTTGTTCTGTTGAACTTTCAACTATAAGTGCTGGATGTATAGAATTTATTGAGACAAAAAGTATCGCTTCAGTGGTATAAGTTGTCATTGACTGCATTCTCTTATTCGAATAGTTTTTATTGCTTTCTTTCGATCTTCAAAAATACTAATGAGTTATAAGAGAACACTGTTGTTATAAATTGTTTTGTATCAATTAGATAACGAAAGTAATTATATAACTATAATATCCCTGTATGAAATGATAGCATATTTATATATGAGATCCTAAATTGTTTATTAACTTCATATATCAAGTATATAATAAAGATTTGAATGATTATTCTTCTTTAGAAACAAATATTATTTCCAATTTTATTCTAATATAATTGAATTTAAGCTGTTAAAATTATTTCAACCTCAACACAAGTTGGTAATTGGAAAGGTGTGTTATCGATGGCATTCCACCTATATTTCTAAGAATTAATATATCTCAACATTCAAATGCCATATGTTAATGAGGTAGGCGTCTTAAAAAGAAAAGGAATGGTTAGGTTTTCCTGCTTACTTACAATGTCAATGATTATTTGAGGCTGGGGATAATAAGGGATCTATTGACAAAAAATTTATAAATAAAAGCGGTGTATTTAATGTCACTGTGTGTTTTATTATATTTATATGTGCTGTGGCTAACCTTCTTGTATGATGTTACATAAATCTTGTAAGTGTCAAGAGAGGTTTCGAGATGGATACATATTAGCTCATGAAAAGTTAGATTTAAGCTATCTATATATAAATAGTTTAAATTTTTGAAAAGTCTAAAATATCAAAAGTCTTTTAGGCTGTGAATGTGGACCATTTGATCAATAGTAAGTACAAAACCACTAATAATAGGTCAGCCTTTAGTAGCTTCCATTTTTTGAGGATACCAGTTATCGTTCTCGGTACTCTCTTGTACAAACAGAATTTGGCCTGGAACTCCCTTCTATGCATAGACTCATAGTAATCTAAGTTGCGAGAATAGCATTCTTTTAAGTTACAGTACATTTGATTCAAGACTAAATGAGCTCATATTTTATTCAGGGTCGACTATTTAGCTTTTCCAATATAATAACTTTCTTGGGTTGTGTATTCTATCATATATGCTAACTTTGTACCTATTTGGTATCTTCCTTATAGATTTGTTTTAACTATGTTACCAAAAAAATTCTATAATACCCAGGAGTCAGGACCCAGGACAATAAGTCATACCTGTAGGTAATTTGTGTTCAGTATTTCCAAAGTTAAAATACCAGTGCTCTTATCAATGTAACCAGATTACATTTTGCTCTTAATTATACAAGCCTATGCTTCAATATAATAGTTTTTCAATCCTTGAAAATTATTTATAACTGCCAAAATTACATTTAAGAATCAATGTCAAGCTATCCAGTCATTGGTTTTATTTTGCAAACTTGCCGAACTTCAAATAACGTAAAAGTAATATGGTTGACCATGAAACTCACTTAACTCCAACATGAGATGAATAATTAAACTCAGACAAGAATCAGCCGATTTAAGCGTATGTAATGATAAATTTAATATATCTGAAGTTCATTTCCCTCTTTGTTTTTGCGTCAGAACGTCAGAACAGTCTCAAGCATCATGTTCTTTCCAAATTGGCCGATGATATTTGGATGATACAAATATCACGTTATAGACCATTTCTTTCATTTGAATATTAGCAGCACTACCTTCATAAACCTTCTTTCTGCTTCAATCTAGCTTTTTTATTTGAATTTGCCTTTGGATATGTCTTTATGTTCTCTTAAAATGATAAGGTTAATTATTTGACACAAAGATACTCCTTCTTTTTTTTGTAACAGCTTACTTAATCTATGACATCAATTTACCGATCCAAAATCCAACCTATTCGAATTAAACGCATTTGAATTTGGAATGATCGAACCTTACAACAAAATGAAAGAAACACTAAATAAAATAGATATATTTTCTTAAATTAAAACTTATAATGTAAGTTTATCTGTTTTAGAATTACTGCGGGATTTCCAAAAATAATTTACCAGTAGTTTTTCTTCCTTCCAAATCTTCAGCAGCCTGAGAGTAATTGCTCAAAGGATAAGTTTTTTCAATTCTCAAATTCAATTCACCAGATTCAACAAGCTCTCTCAGTTGATTCGAATAAAATTCCCATTCCTCTTTTTCCACGATATAATTGAATAAAGTTGGTCTTAATAATTTTAAATTTTTTGGTGTCAATTTTGTCAATGGAACTGGTTCAACAGCTCCTGACGCGTTACCAAATGAAACCAAAGTACCTTTTCTAGCTAAAGAGTCCAAAGAAATTTGAAAGGTATCTTTTCCAACACCATCAAAACTAGAAGCAACACCTTTACCGTTAGTATATTCTAGGACTTTTTTAACAATATCTTCTGTCTTAGAGTTAATTAAAAACTCTGCCCCATTCTCTTTGGCCAATTTCAATTTCTCATCAGATGAAGCTGTGGCAATGACATGAGCTCCACGAGCTTTGATTAATTGAGTCAAAATTAACCCAACACCACCAGCTGCTGCATGGACTAATATATAATCTCCCTTCTGGACATTATAAGACTCATTGATGAAAGTTAATGCAGTGAACCCTTGAACCGGCAAAGCAGCATATTGTTTCAATTTCTCATCAGTCGACTCTTTTGGTAATTTGAAAGCTCTTATTGAAGGATCAAACTTGGTATATTGAGCAAATGTTGACGCTGATAAATATGAAATATAATCACCAACATCAAAATCTTGGACTTTAGAACCTTTAGAAACAATAACACCAACAGCTTCTCTTCCTAGTGTATAAGGTTTTTGTGAAGGATAAAGACCAGTTCTAAAGTATGATTCAATGAAATTGATACCTGCGTATTTGTTTTTAATCAAAACTTCATGATCTTGGATTTCTGGTACTGGGATATCTTCATATCTCAAAACTTCTAAACCCCCAGTTTCGTGAATTCTGATGGCTTTTTGGGTAGTTGGAATTTGGGTGGACATGGCTCTAATATCTGTTCTTAAATTTTCAGTAGTCTTTGATATAATTGATTTCGCTCCAAGTGAATTGAATATAGTTGGAATTGATTTACTCCAAAGCTTCATGATCTGGAATCTAGAAATATGCAATTGTCCCTAATTTATATGTGAATTTTTGAGAATTTGTGTGATTATAAATCGGAGATAAAGTGGCGCTATTTCCACAAAATTTAATTGTCTCCACACTACTAGTGCACACTAGTACCTTAGATTATATTTATTGCAACTATATTCATAATGGGTCAACTTATATTCGCAATGGACCAGCTTATAATATTACGAGCTAACGGGCTGATCAAGTTAACGGGGTACAACACATATATTATTATAATATAGATCATATATTGTCAGCGCCTATTGCATATTATATATAATTAATAATCAACATGAGGTGTATTAATTTATACGTATAATTATACATTAATCATATATATAATACATAATATAATTATATTATAATATTTTCTATACATCTGCACAATTTATATAAATTAATTACACTAGATATGTATATAAAATAAACCTTATGTCAATGACCACCTCTCGGTTAATTGTTTTTTGTTGGCTTCATATATTTCTAAATCCAATTCTGAAAACTTAGGGAAAGGTTTACCTGTACCATTAATTGAGTCGTAACCACCACCTAGTTTGATTAAATTATCAATATATATTAAGGCAGGATCTTGACCTGTTGTATGAAATAATCTTGAAATTCCATATTTTTCAAGTCTCTCCTTATGCCATTGCTCTTGTTCTTGCACAGACGGTAGCTTGATCTTACCAGCCAAGTACCTTGCAACAAGTATAGCTTGGATTTCAAAAACTCTAAAACTCATACCATCTATTGGTGTCCCAACAAATGATAATGAAGGATCTTTGATATAGAAAGTATGTTGATAAAGCCCTTTAATGATTTTTCCTTGAGGTGTTAAATTTGAATTATAATCCTGAAGAAAGGGATAGGAAAAAAAATATCCAGTTGCATAAATCACATAATCTGGATTCTTTGCAGATGATCCGTCTTCGAAAAAAACAGTGGTTGTATCATCTTGTACAACATATTTTGAAATTGGTGGTTTTCTTAAAGTTTCTGGGGTTCGGGATAATTTATGACCTGCAAAGAAAGTAGTTGATGTATCTTTAACTGACCATATAATATCATTTGTAAAAGTTTTCAATTCACGAACTGTATCTGATGCAGAAGATCTTGAGCCTATAACTATAACCTTCTTATTCTGAAATTTTGAATTCACAATAAGCCCCTTTGAATGTAGCACTTGACCTCTTCCAGAAAGAATAAATTCATTTATACCTTCAACGTTAGGAATTTGTGGAACGTTATAATGACCTGTAGCTATAATAATGGAATCAAAAAATAATTTCTTCCAAATATCTAAGTTTCCAACTTCACTTCTAATAACGACTTCCCATTGTTCACCCTTCTTTAAAATCCTTTCAACATGGGTATTTTTAAAAATTTCCACATTTGAGGAAGGGTTTGTTGATAATCTTTCAATATAGTTTATAATATATTTCTCAACAGATTCCCTTGTTGTTAACTCATCTTGATTAGGTTGGTCTAACCATGGAAATTTTTTATCATCAGAAAAAGTCATTATCCTCTCAGGAACATTGGTTCTTAACGATCTATAAGTTGCAGGCGATTCATCCCATCTTGGAACTCTTTCAGCAATTTCCACTTTTAATTCTTCATCAGCATTCTCAAACTCTTGGGGAAGAGGGATTGGAGGATCGACTTCTTGAGGAGTTGACCCTGGTTTGACTTTGATATCTTGTTTAGGCTCATCAGCTCTCCATGTTCCACCAAAATTATCTTTCCTTTCAAAAAGTACTATCTTGTCAAATGTCGATTCTTTAATTAATGAATCTAATGAGATTGCACCACTTGGTCCACCACCAATTATACCAACTGATCGAATCTTCTTAATAGTCATTATATTCGACTTTCAGACTATACTGTATCATCATATTGAAAGATTCATTCATCTCTTAGATATCTAATTGATGCCCATTTTTCAAGACGTATCTATTAAGTCAAATGTGTGGATACATGAAGTACAATCGAAGCCATAGTTTGTTGGTAATGGCACATACATATTATATAATCCATGTCTATATATCTATATATTCTAGCTGCTATATATCTGATATGTATAACACCAAGTTTGCAGTTGTGTTATATCTATGACATATATTAATCCTGAATATTAAGTTTGAATATATTCTACGATTGAATTTATATTGTATTTTTCAATTATTATAATAATCACAGGGTGAAGATATATAAAGCATGACTTCAAAGCTGTACGCTATACAATATACAATTGATTGCAATATATTGAATTGCAAATTCAATTAAAGATTCAAAATGTTATAATATTTTCAAGACTGGTGGTGATTGTATTTCTGTTGGTTAAAGTTTCCAGTATTAATTAGTAATTTATATCACTATTTTGTCGTCCAAATTTGCAATGCAACAACATCAACAACATGCCCATAGTAATCAATGTAACAACTTGCCAATAATAAAGTTTGAAAAACCAAAGAAGAAGTTAATTGGTCAATTCAATCCTGAAGCTTAACTTCTCAGATTTCACGTGTTTGGACTATTGAATTGAGTATAATTCCTCTCTATCTTTATTCTCACTTGACCTCTATAACTTTGAATTATTTGTGAGTTACTTTAATCAAAGGAGTTACATAGATCCTGGTACCTGATGCATAACAATTGGAAACTATTAGTCTTTTCCTATATTGAGAATTTATCAAGGTTTACTGATAGACAGAGTTTAGTGTATTTGGCTATGTATATCATTGACTTCAAAGGTTTGTATTATAGCGCTCTTTGTGATCATATCATGATATGCTTCCTGAGTCGGATAAGGGATTTTAAAGGTGAAAAAGATATATCACGAAGGGAACGTAGTGTTTTTGGTATTTACTTGATATTTACCATAATCAACTTTTCATTATTTTAGAGCAATTGTATCAGTTTCAAAATGTGTAATCATGTGGTTTGCTGGTAGAAATATAATAGCTAAAGTCAGAAGTCAGAAGTCAGATCAGGATTCAGAGGTACTTCAGCAAATAGTTTGGATTTTTGTCAAATGTGAATATAATATTAATGTGGAATTTTATTGGGCTTTATTAAAGCTTTATGAAAGAGTAATATCCATAGCTTTTGGTTATTTATCATGTCCTAGATGGGGTTAAAACTTAAAATATTCTATCGCGCTTCTCATAGTTTTTGGTTTCTATGAGCCTTGATTTGACATTAATGGCACAGCACTAGATGGTAAGGGGACGACTTCACCAATTTTCGCATTTTCACAATTTCAATTTCTTGATAGTGTCCAAATCTCCCACTCCTTTTTGCTACAATAAACAATTCAAATTCAACCCACCACTTGCTAAGGGAACTTTACAATCCTGTCTTCAATAACAGACAGAGACACATATATTTTTAAAGATAGTCCAACAAGAAAACGAGAATATACTAATCCAATGTCTAAAGCTTTTGTTAGATCAATCAAAAATGTTGCCAATGGGTATTCAACAGCCCAGGTGAAAGTGAGAAATGGTAAGTGCTTACAATTTCTTGTAAGGGAATGAAGTCAATTCTAACAAATAACAAGCTACATCAAATGAACCATATGGGCCAAGTAGAACTGATATGGAAGACATCGCTGATTCTACTTACGAACAGTGAGTATATGCTAACAGAAAAATGGAAACAACTTTGATACTAACTAAAAAAGCGTCGAATTTTTAGAGATTATGGATATGCTTGACCGTCGTCTCAATGACAAAGGTAAAAACTGGAGACATGTTGCTAAGGCTTTAACTGTACTTGACTTCATTGTTAGAGCGGGTTCTGAGAATGTTGTGTTGTGGTCAAAAGATAATTTATATATCATCAAAACTCTCAGAGAATTCCAATATGTGGATGAAGAAGGACATGATCAAGGTACCATCATCAGAGTCAAGGCTAAAGAGCTAACTTCTTTATTGAGGGATGATGAAAGATTAAGAACTGAGCGTAGTATGAGACAAGATAGAAGAGAAAGAAGAAGACCACAGAGACGTTCAAGCGTCAGTTCTGATAATAATCCAGATGCCGAAGATGAGGATGAACTACAAAAGGCTCTTGACGAAAGTAGAAGGACAGCAGAAGAGGATGAGAGAAGAAGAAGAAATGAATCAACTGATGATGATGGGTTAGATACTGCATTGAGACTCAGTCGTGAAGAAGAAGAGGCAAGAAGATTAAGAGAAAATCAAAACCAAAATCTTTTAGATCTCTCTGATAATCAACAAGGACAATTTGATATTTTTGGAAATCCAATCAACTCAGTGAATACTGGGTATCTTCAAAACGCTTATGGTAATGACTATATGCAACAGTTACAGCAACAACAATACCTACAACAACAACAGCAACAACAGCAATACGAGCAAGAGCAACAACAACAACAATACTTGCAAAGACTTCTTCAAGAGCAGCAACAACAACAGTATCAACAACAACAGCAACAACAGCAGGAATATTTGCAACAGCAATATTTACAACAACAGTACTTACAAAATCTTCAACAACAACAGCTATTGCAACAACAACAACAACAACAACAAGCACAATCACAACAAAGCTTGCAACCTTTGCCAACTGGGTCTAATAATCCATTCTCATTGAGCAGCCCAAACCCAGCTCAAGCTAGTGAATCTGCTGTTAGTGCACAACCAAAGTTAGAAAAAGTTCCTACAGGATCTCAAAAGAAAAGCGAAGAATATTCCGAACTCAACAACTTACTTGCAACTGGCACAGGTATCGATACCTTTGGTAACGAAGGTAATTTACGTATTCCAGCTCAATTTACAAAATCTTCCACATTCATAAACTCTTCTGGTACGGGTATACGTACAGAGAATAATTCCACTGCTAATCCTTTTATTCAGAGACAATATACAGGTGTCGCAAGTACAGGTGTTATTCCATCTCACACTGGTTATGGTTTTGGTAACCAAGGTCAACAGCAACAACAACAACAACAACAACAACAACAACAACGTGGCCAAGGAGGTGAACAATCATTAATTGATATTTGATTAGAGTTTGATGTAATAACCCCCTCTATCTGTACTATATATTTTTAGTTAAATTGAAATGATTTTAGGATGAAAATTGTAGGAAATCGAAATCTAACCCAGATATTTACAGAGGCAAAATGAATTCTTTAAGTAATTTATAAAATACTTATATATATCATAGTTTAGTATACACATGTGTGGTATCAACGTTTCAAGAATTTCTTGTAAACCAAGTTTTCAGTTTCATCTTTATATTGATAGTTAATATCTTTCAAAAATTGATGAAAAAGTTCTTCATCTTGAGGAGGAACATCTAAACCAACCAAGACCTTTCCAATATCAGATCCATGATTTCTATAATGGAATAAAGTTAGATTCCAGCTTCCTTTCAAATGTTCTAAAAATTTAGTCAAAGCTCCTGGTCTTTCAGGGAATTCAAAATTTAATAATCTTTCATTTGGTAGATTTGCAGAACCACCAACCAAATAACGGCCATGTGATTTTGCCATTTCATTTTGAGATATATCAATGGCTGAGAAGCCAAATTTTTCTAACTCGTTCAAAACTTGTGAGATTTCCTTTTGACGATCAATGACAGAAAATGATGTATAAATATATGCTTCTTGAGTAGCCCCGTTCCCTTTTTCTTGATTTTCATTATATCTATAAGAGAATTCAGTAACAGTTCTTGGATGAATGATGCTTTGTAATTTTTGGAATGATCCTGGTGTGTCTGGTATAGAAACAAGCATGAAAACTTCTTTACCTTCACCTAAAACAGCTCTTTCTGAAACAAATCTTAATCTATCAAAATTCATGTTAGCTCCAGATAAAACGGGTATGTAAGTGGCTTTTGTATGGTCAATTTCAGGATGATTCTTGATGTATCTCTTCATACCAGCAACTGTCATGGCACCAGAAGGTTCAACAATTGAACGAGTGTCTTCGAAAACATCTTTAATAGCAGCACATATTTCATCAGTATCAACTTTGACTATTTCGTCAACAACATCTTCACAAACTCTGAATGTTTCTTCCCCAATGATTTTAACAGCTGTACCATCAGCAAATGCACCAACAGTATCCAATTGGACTCTTTTTTTGGCTTTTAATGATTGATCTAAAGCATCTGCATCAAATGTTTCAACACCAATGATTTTAACATGTGGAGCAACTCTTTTCAAATAAGCACCAATACCAGCGATTAAACCACCACCACCTACAGCACAAAAAACTGCAGTTAATTTTTCACCATTAGTTTGACGTAAGAGTTCCATAGCGATTGAACCTTGACCAGCAATAACATACGGATGATCAAAAGGTGGAATATTGGTTAAACCATTTTCTTCTGTTAATCTAGCACATTCAGCTTTTGCTGAATCAAAATCATCACCATATAACACAACTTGGGCTCCTAATCTTGAAACATTTTGATATTTGATACTTGGAGTAGCAGTAGGCATAACAATAGTCGCTGGTATACCTAAGTTCTTAGCTGAGAATGCAACACCTTGGGCATGATTACCAGCTGAACAGGCAATGACACCCTTCGCTTTACGACTTGGATCAAGTTTTGCAATCATATTGTAAGCACCACGTAATTTGAAACTGAAAACTGGTAATAAATCTTCTCTTTTCAGTTGAACATTAGAGCCTGTTTTATGAGACAATGATACGGCATGTGATATTGGAGTTTCGTCAACGACATCATAGACTCTTGATGTCAATATTAAACGAACATAATCTGGGTCACCATTTGGTAACAAATCTTGTTTTAATAAATCTGGGTATTTAGCAGCTATTGAGTAGCATCTTTGTTGCTTGAGCACATTTCTAAAATGTACTAATCTTTTTGCCAAAACCATAGCTTTCCTGATTCAATAAAGCTATAGATGTAAAGATTTAAAATATGAAATGAATCAATAATACCCATGTTTTGAAAGGTCAAAACACCGGACAACTTTTTTTACTCATCGGAACGGACACGAAAAGTACGTACAATCTACAATTTTCAAATTAATTAAGATCGTACTATTAAATTACACTATTAGTGTCTAAATTAAACAGATAATGAATTGAATGCTTTTATAGCACTGTTAGCAGTATCAGCAGCTGAAGCCGGGTTCGAACCTGTAGCAATTCTTCCATCAACAACTGAATATACTTCAAATGGAGAAGGTGGTGGTGACCAAGTTGCACCAATTTCTTCGAAAACAGTTTGATTGAATTTAAGATTGTACTTTTTAACAGCAGCGACAACACCAATTTGTTCTTCACCAAGATTTGTGAAACCTGTTAAAGTTTTACCTTTACCTAGATGTTCACCAGTTTTCTTATCTTTTAAATTTTCGAAAATCGCTGGACCATGACAAACTGCACTAACAATACCACCATTATCATAAATTTGAGAAGCTAATTCAAGTAAATTTGTAGCATTAGGGAAGTCAAATAAAACACCATGACCACCAGCTGCGAAAAAGATACCATAATCACTTGGATTCAAATCAGAAGCCTTTTTCACGCTTTTCAATTGTGCATTAATTCCTGAAGATTTATCTTCAAATGCCTCAATATCTTCTTTAGCTAAAAATGGTTCTTTAGTTGAATGTTCATCAAGACCAACGGTTCCTGTTTCTGAGACAAGATCAACTTCAAAACCTGCTTTTGTAAATACATCAAAAGGATGTGCAGCTTCACTCCAAAACAACCCAGTTTTGGAGCCATCATCATAAAATGGGCCAAAATAAGATGTAACAGCTAATGCGACTTTTCTTGGGACTGGTTTATCTGTCATATTGAATACTATTTTACCGATTGTAAATTATTGTAATTGATAATTTAAATAATACAGTTAGCATTAGGTATTGTATTCTTACGGTTTTTTTACACCTTATATATACAAATTTCAACTGAAATTGCTTGCTAACTTAATCCTTGTTATGAACTTGGATATAAGATTGCGAATATGAGATGTAGTGATGTTAAAACGAGTTCCCCGGATAAATTTATAAAAAAACGTTGCGCTTTATAAGCTTGACAGATTGACCTGCTTTTAGTTGAAACTTTTGATTGCGTACAGTTTATATTGAGCTAAAAAGTAAAATAATATCACTAGCTAACATTCATTTAATTGTTTATATTATAATAATTATGATAATTCAATCGTCAAACTCAAATTCAATATGAGGTTCAATATCAGGCTTCAGAATAATACAAGTCTGATCAATATATGAATCTTTAATATCATAAATTCAAATTTTATAAACCAAACGCCTAAATACAAGTAATACTTAAATATATACCAACATTACCAACTAACCCGTATATCCACCTCGAGGTTAATCTTCTATAACAATAAAAAATAGAGAAAAAACATGATAATACAAGTTTTCAAGCTAAGAATATGTTCCAACATTTTTCATCTTGATATCTCCACCAATCATAAGGTTCATTATATTTTCCATTATCCATAAGTTCCCATAATTCATCAACAATTTTCAAAACACCTTTAAAAGCACCAATATTCGTCTTGTCAAAAAATAATTGTAATGTATCTTTAACAAAGATTCTATCATTATTTGAATTTAATCCTGTTGAAATTTTTAATAATGGCCATAAAAGATTTGAACAGAAAAAACTATCAAATTTAACAAATTCTTGTAAAGCATTGAAGAATGTAATTTTTTCTTGATTTAAAATTTCTTTATCAACATTATTATAAAGAGATTGATGAAATAAAATAATCATTGTTGAGCTCCACATTTTTTCAATCTCATCCCAATCAGATGAATTAATTGGAGATTTTGATCTTTTCAATAATTTATTTAATCTTTTTTTCAATATAATTTCAGAATATCCAATTGATTCTAAATGATTTGATAACGATACAAAATTTCCTGTTTGTTTAGAATCAAATATTGTTTTACCAATATATGTTAATTCTGAACAAAAAAATAAAACAGTTGTTGGACAACCAAAAACACAATCAAAATTTTGAATTAAAGGATCTAAAGTTTTAAAATCTGAAGAATTAAATTCTTTAAATAATGGTTTTTCACCAGTTGTTAAAGTTGCAAAATTATCATATCTTGCGATTCTTAAATATAAAAACCAAGTTAATTGATCTTCTTTAATTTTTCTTTTTTTACGTTCTTGAACAATTTTTCTTAAAGCTTTTATATGGAAAGGCCAATTTTGTAAACCTGATTGTATAATTTCAATTGAAAGATGACAAATGATTGCAGATAAGGCATTTAAACTAACGGATTCTTTTTCATCTTTCAATAATGCATAAAGATGTTTATATGATAATGATTTATGTAAAAGTGATAATCTTTTATATTCTGGATTTGAAAAAGATAATTGACTTGCAGATATACTCAGTATACCATGTAATGTAGCAGGATCATTAACAGCAACTGGAACAAAGAATTTTTCAGAAATATTTTGAGGACCAGCACCATTTAATGGATCTATTGCGATACATGTAACAAATAAATAATGACTAAAAATATTTTGAGTATCTTTACTTTGGAAAATATTAAAAATTTCTCTTGGAAATGTTTGATAAGTCATTGAAAAATTTCTTTGAGTTTCCAAAATCCTTTGGTGATCTAATTTCATTAAACCATGATGAGAAATTGTATCTAAATCTAATTGTACACTTTCTTGAAATTCATCACTTAATTCATCAATTTCACCATCTTCATTATAATAACTTTGTACACTACTTAAACTTGAATTTCTTGATTTATTATACTGTATTACTTGATCTGATGGTGATAATAATTGATATTCCTCTGAAGTGTCTAACATATCAAGTTCTTCATCAGCATCTATTATTTGTTGTTGAGGTATATTTTCAGGCGTTATAGATTTGGATTGTTTAATACCATCTATACTTTGATCCTTTGGTGTATTTGATTTACTGTTTGTTCTTTTATTTTTGAAGGATGGATGTCTTGAGTCTGATTTTTCCACTGATATCCACATTAATTTCTTTGAATAATCACAGGTTAAACCTTTCCTTAGACATACTTTACAAATTGGTTTAGATTTATCACATTTTATACGACCTTCTTTACAATTTTGACAACCATCTCTTGATCTTTTAGATTTTGGTGGGACTGGTGCTGTAGGGTTATTAGCATTGTTGTTATTGTTATTATGATTATGATTATTATTTTCTGAGGATTCACCACTGTTTAATAGATTTGCAGTCATGGTTAATCAAAGCTGGAGAGCATCTTAATACCCAGCAAAGATCTTTTAAATTACTGTGATGATAAAAAGTTTCAATAGAATAATACCAGTGCTTTATATGAAATTCTTTTCCTTCAATAGATTGTAAAAATAATTTAAATAATGAAATATATCAAATAAAAGTTCCCCCTATAATTATCAGTGAAGTAAGAAACTATTTCGATAATTTATGTCTGACTGCTTAATTATTGTACTATGGCGAACTTGTTGAATTTGGAAAAATACGGAAAGCCTGGAAATTACCAAATCGGGAAACACTCCAGAAATGGTTTTTGTGGGTAAATAATTTAACCGTGATATTGAACTATGAACTATGAACTATGATTATCATATAATTATTATAAGTAGCATAATGTTGATGGGTTGTTAATGGAATTGCATTGGAAGAAGGTTTGATATGACTCATTTGTTGAAAAGTTGTTTTGACCGTGGTTGTTTGAAGACACTGCACTCCAACACTACAACGCATTCGAAGTGAGTCGTTCAGGAATCAGTATTGGTCACTGGTCACATTCAAACGCAGGACAATGAATAAATCCAAATGATTAATACTTTGTGAAAGGAAATCAAAGGATATTTTGAAGATTTGCTTATTGGAAGGTGTTTATTTCATCACACTTTATTTCCTTAGTGATACAATCTGTGTCTGTGTTGTTTAATTCAAGATCTCAAGTTATTTGGTAAATACGGGGAATACATCCATTTCTTATTGTTTTCTCAATGACTAGAGTAACCAAAAATTCATCATTTGAGTTAACCCCCTGCAACTACCTTTGCAACACATTTCTCCATAACTAGATGTTTGATAGTGTTCAATACTTTAACTAAAAAATTTAGAGTTACATATAATTAGATCAAGTTCAAGTACAATGAATGTCATACATTAAAATTTTATCACAAATCTCAAGTCAAGATAAGGATTTAAAAAAGCATCCAGTTTTGAAAACTAAAAATTACAATATGAAAATATTTATAATAATAAGATTATATTAATACATTATTTAAAAATTAAAAAATCTATACTCTAACTTTTTTATAATTACCAAATTGTTCATGTTCATTAAAATTTCTTTTTTTAGATAAAGCAATACTTGATGATTCAATTAAAGATTTTTGAGCAATAATTTTTTCAATTTTAGCTAAAGCTTGTGATAATAATGATTCCCATTTAGTAAAACAATCACCAAAGCAATTTAAATTATAATCTAACTCTTTTAAAATTTCAAATTCTAAATTTTTTAAATCTTTAATTGATAAACCTGAAACTTTTGACCAAGATTTAAATGTATAATTTGAATCATAATTAAATTTAAATGATAAAATTAAACAAATTAAAAAAGTCTTCTTTGGGCAGAATAATGATTTATTATTTGAAATAAATCTATTTTTAATTTTTGTTTGTAATTTAAATAAATAATACATTGAAATTTGTAAAGCAGCTAATGAACATCTTGAACGTTTCATAACTTCTCTTGTAAATCTTTCATAATCTCTTTGATTAATTAAATTATTATTAAATAAAGAATCAACATTTGAAACATTTGGATTTTTCCATAATGATAAAATGAAAACTGAAGCTTCTGAAACAAATTTATTTGCAATTTCAGCTTTTGTAGATCTATCACAATTATTTGAATTTATTGAAGAGATTGTTGATTGTTTAACAGAAGGAGGTGGTGTAATAATTTGATGAATTTGATCTTGAATAATTGATTGATGAGTATTTGATGATTTTAAGCCATCTTCTGGAGTAAGATGATGAGCCATTTTTTTTTTTTTAATTTATGATAATATTGATAATAATGAATTAACTAACGTATAATGAAAATTGATTGGATTGACGATCAACGACAATATCCAATAATGGAAACTTCTCTATTTTCTTTCAAAAACAAACGACTTTAACAAAATAATAATGATGATAATGATGCAATAAAACCCCTAGTAAGACATTTGATGATGATATAATAACAGAAACAAAAAAACTAATGATATGTGATAATAATAATAATAACAATGAAGTGATAAATGTAAAATATGAACAGTTGTGTGGGATGAAAGAACTTGAATTGATGCAAATAGTCGTTAATAGCGTGAATAGCGTTAAAAAGTTGCTTTAAATATTAGTATATAAATGATTTAAAGAACTTGGGTATTAATAATTGTGGAGTGTGTGATTGAAAGTTGTTTAAAGACTTTTCAAAGACGATTACTAGGAAAACGACACGGGAACGTATCACTAACTAGGAATCTCTTATCTGATGGAAATAAAATAAGTAATAACGATGAAAATCAAAGAGAATTCCATACATTTATATAGAAAAAAGCCCACACCGATCAGTCGATGACGAATCTCTCCAGAAATCAGTCATCGTGCTTATCTGGTTTCTTTTTTGTGCTGTGTGAACCGGAGATTTCTGACTCATTTAAAGTTTCGAGAGATTTTGGCGGCACTTTGGGCCTTGGGCGATCTCGGAATAACTTTTAATAATCTTTGACTCATAAATTTAAACCTGTTACTACCTGTCACGAGTTGCCATTCATGTCATTTATTTCATTTATTCGTTAATTACATACAGATATCACACCATCACTTCTTGGTTCGCCTTTTCTTACCAGAACTCATCTTTTCACTAGCATCATTCATCCGTTTACCCAACTTTAATGTTTTTATAGTCTTACGATTACTATTATCAACTGGATAAAACTCACCCAATGTGGATTGTGTTCCTTCTCTCTTCTTCTTATTTAAATCTTTTATCAATGGCACTAGAACTTGATCAACTTTATCTTGACTCCATCCAACACTTGACATTAAAAATGTACGAATTCTATCAAGATCTGGTGTACCCCATACAAATTCAGTTTTATCTTTATCCACTTCAGCTTGTAAATATGCTTGATCAATTCTTTTATCTGGGAATGTATTATCTAATAATATATTATTCTTAATTAATTTTTTCCTTAAATTTTTTAAAAAACTTTCTTCATTTTGTTGTTTACCAATATCAAATTGTGTTTCAACAAACCAATTACGGAAATTTGTTAAATCTCCAAAATGTGATAAAATCTCCATAGCATTAACTGGTCCAATACCCTTTAAACCTTCTGTATAATCACTTCCTAATAACTGTGCAATTTCAATCAATTTTTGTCTTGTTAAACCTAATTCCCTTTCAATATCTTGTGAACTATAAAATTCAACATAATGCTTTTCATGAAACATATTTTTATAAACTTTACCACCTCCAAAAAGGAAAACATCACTATCATCTGTAATTATACCATCAACTAAATTTAATTGAAGTAATTCTGCACATTGTGCTTCTGCTTCCATTGGTGCTGTTATATAAGGTATACCAAACCTTGCTAATAATTCTTGAACTTCTTTAATCATTGTCACTGTAACTTCATCTGAATCTCTTAAATCTCTTTTTTGTTGATCTCTTAATGATTTTTCATTATCAAAAAAATTATTTAATATATGAGGATTTAAATCTTTTTGAAATTCTTCATGTTCTTTCTCCTCTTTAGCAAGTTGTTCCATTAATTGTTCTTCTTCGTCTTCTTCAAAATCATAATCAACAACTGCTGGTGTTGCTTCACTATTATCTAAATTAATAGGTTCAACATCATCAATTTCATCATTAATCTCTTCAACTTTGTCATTTTCTTCAACTGTTGTATTTGTATCTTTTGATTCAGTTACTTTGGATGGTAAATTTGGAGGTGGTATAACTTCAACTATATCATCATTATCATTATTAATATCCTCTTTATCTTTTGATTCAATATAATTTTTTGCTTCACTCCATGAAACTATACCATCTGGTTTATCTTGTATATCTCTTTGAGATTTTAATTTCTCAAGATTCTTAAAAGGATTATCAAATGTACTATTAAACCATGATGGTACTGATGGGATTGATTTTTTTTTAGTTTCTTCTTCACTTTTTTGTTCATCTGAATTTTGCTTCTCTATTGATTTCTCAGTGGAAGTTTTTCTTGAAATTGGTTCAACCTCTTTAGGTTTATTAATTACACTTGAAGTTTTACCAAATGTTGGTAATCCTTTGAATAAAGTTTCCTTTTGTGGTGATTTAGGTTTTTCAACAACGTGATTTTCTTCAACTTGAAAAGGTACATCTTCAAAATCTTCATCAAATTCATCATCATCTTCTAATGCTTTACCTGATTTTTTATCTAATGAATCTGGTGATTTAACATTTGAATTATCATCACCTAATAATTGATGTTCCATTTCTTTTTCCTTTGCCAATTCCTTTTTAGAACGTTGAATTGCTTCAATCAATTCAATCTCTTCAATTTGTCTTAAAGCTTCTTCACCACTATTATATCCATCATCGTCATTATCTAAATCTTCTTGAGTTATGTTTGAATGTTTATTCTTTTGCTGTGGTGTGTAAGCCATAAATGATCTAACACCGGATGAATCTTCACCTAAAACAGTTTCTGCTGGTGGTAATGGTAATGAAGCCATTGCATGACTAACACGTTCTTCCTTTTGTTTAGCCTCAACGTCAACATCTTCCCAATCAATATCATCATCTTCATCATCATCACCTATATGACCAAACCCACCATTTTCTTGTCTTTTCATTAATTTACGATCTTCTTTTTCAAGATCAACAGGATTTGAATAGCTTGTACCTGAATCATTATCAAGACTTAAAGCCCAACCACCTTCAGTTTTATGTATTTTATATTCTTTATCCTTTTCACCTGCAATTCTTTGAGTTTTTTGATCAGAATCATCCATACCTGTTATATTCATTAATCTTTGAGTGAAAAAATTTCTTTTTTGAACCATTTGAATTTGAAATTTCGAAAAATCTAAACTATTAGGGAAAATATTTTCTAATTGTTCTTTTGAATAACCCATTCTTAATCTTGATCTTAATCTTAATTGTGAGAGTACCATATATTGAGTTGTTAATGGTAATTCTTGAAATTCATTTGATGCAGGATCTATTGTATTTAAATCTATACCTTCTAATTCATCTAAATGTTCAGACATATCTTTAAATTTTTCAGTTGATACTCTTTGATCATTTTTATCATATTCAAATCCTTTAATCTTGGGTAAATCATATTCATCTGTTCCTTTAAATTTTGGTTGTTCTTGTTCTTGATTAATTGAACCACCATTTGGCTTATTAAAATCTTCAAAATATTTATAATCTATATCATCCTGATTTTCTTCAATTTTTTCCTCAACATTTTGTTTTTGTTTCTTTGATGGAGATTCTTGATTTTTTTGTAATTGAATAGCTAATAATTTTTGTGCAGTTTTAGTAGCATCATCTCTTTTCCCTTGTCTTCGTTCTTTTCTTTTATTAATAGTTTCTCTTTTCAATACAGGAGCACCACCATCGAAGACAAAAACTGGCATGATTCCAAAATATAATAATTTACATATTCTTCTGAAAAAACCAACAATATGTGAACTTGTTAAAGAATTACCACTTTTATCTCTAACAGCTTTTAAGAATTGATAAATCCAAATTGAAGCATCAACAGCCATCCTTTTCCTACTTAGAGACTCAAGCCTCACAGCTCTAGAAGTGGGTTCCAATATCCCCCATAATGAATGAACACCCATGGCAAATTAACCTCTTTATCTTTAAATCTATTAAACTAAAACCCATCAGTACAAAAGCGCAAGTTGCCTTTAAATGAATTGTTCAGATATTACTTAATCTCATCGGCTGGTTAGCGCAGCATCAGAAGTTTAAAAAGATATAATTTTGACGCGTAATTAAATTATACCCATGAAATAAATATCAATTAACCGTGTATTTCCACAAGAATAACGTGTTGTTGAAAGTTATCGCTCGAGGAAATAATGTCTTTGAACTCTGCAAGGATCATACTGTTCCCAGAATCTACACAAGATTCTCTAAAAATTGTTAATTTACCACATCCAAGAACTAATCAAGAATATCATTATGCTCTTGTGAATAATGAAGAACTTTATGAATTAACAGAATTTGATAACGATAATCCACATAGTAAAACAAATCATTTGAGATCACTCACGAAAACGGATGGGAAACCAGTAAGATCTCTTTTATTAGAAAATGTCAATGATGAATCTGATGGTTTGGTTTTAGAAGAATCAAATATTATTATAAGTACAAAATTTAATTTTACTTATATTTTAATTACATATTTCATTTTACAATTAGAACAGGGGAAAGAATTTAGAAGATATCAATCTCTGGAAGATATAACTGATGTTTTGGAGGAATCAATTCCAATAATACTTCAATTACCAGGATCATTATTAAATACATCATTAGAAAATATTTGTGATTCAATTAATGAAAATGATGAAAAATTTTATAAATTCTCTGAAGAAAAGACAATAAATTATTTGAAAACCAAATCAGAATTAATATCTCAAAATTTCCCTAAAAGTATTGAATCAACAATTGTTAGTCCTTTATTATATCCTGCAAATATTGATGAAAAAATTCCAGAAGATATTAAAAAATTAGCATTAATAAAATATTCAATTCATTTAATTTCATCATATTTACACCCTAAAACAGAATCAAGATTAAATTCATCATATAATTTTGAATCAGTCAATGAATATATTACCAAAATTCAAAAAGAAAAATTACAGAAAAAAGCAGCAGAAGATCAAATTCAAAATTTAAATCAAATTAATGCACAAAATAAAAGATCAATTGGTGTTCAAGATAACAAAAATCGTAAAAAACCTACACCTGCTAAAAAAATTCCTTCAAAAGTTATTAAGGGTCCATTAGATGGATTTTTTGGTAAAAAAAAATAATTAATGAAAGAAGAAAGGAAAAAGAAAGAATTAATGTTGATTATGATATCTGTACTGTATAGAATTTAGATAAAAGTTGTTATTTTATTGTTTTGTTTTATTTTATTTAGATCGTATATACATGATATTTTAAATATTAAAATTTAAATAGTCAAACATTATTTTTTTCCAATATCTTCAATTTTTGGAGCTTCAACATTATTATTTCCCAAATTTTTATTAACTTGATTATAAATTCCTAATCCACTTGAAATCATTGAACCTAAATCATTTAACCCAGCTGGAACAATAACTGTATTTGATTCTTTAGCAAGTTTACCAAATGCTTCAACATAATGTTCAGCAACTTGTAATGAAACAGCATCTTTACCACCTGGAGTTTCTTTAATGGCTTTGGCAACTTCTTGAATACCTTTAGCAGTAGCTTTAGCTTTTAATAAAATAGCTTCAGCTTCACCAGCAGCTTCATTAATATTTTTAGCTTTTGTAGCTTCAGATTCTAAAACTTTTGATTGTTTTTCACCTTCAGCAATATTTATTTTGGATTGTCTATGACCTTCAGAATCTAAAATTTCAGCTCTTTTAGATCTTTCAGCAGAAACTTGTCTATGCATAGCATCTAAAACATTTTGTGGAGGATGAATATCTTTAATTTCATAACGTAAACAAGTTAGCCCCCAATCACTGGCAGCTTCATTCAAAGCAGTTGTAATGTTATGATTTAATGATTGTCTTTCCCTTAGGACATGATCTAAAGTTAATTGACCAATTTCAGATCTCATTGTTGTTTGAGCTAATTGAGAAATGGCATATTCTGCATCTTCAACGCCATATGAAGCTTTATAAGCATCAACAACTTTGATATATAAGACACCATCCATTTCTAAAGTGACATTATCAGATGTGATGGCATTTTGAGTTGGTATTTCAATAGCAGCTTCTTTTAAAGATTGAACATATTGGATTTTATCTAAGAATGGGAACAAAATGGCTAAACCAGGATCAAGAATTCTATGGAATTTACCCATACGTTCCACAACCCAAGCAGTTTGTTGTGGAACAAATCTAATCACGGTATTTGCAGGTAATTGATCTTGTTGAAAGAAAGTTAATGGCCCATTATTGCTGCTTAAACTAGCTGTGAAATTCTTTGTAGGTTGTACAATGCGTGCACTGTTCAATACACTTCTGCGTGTTAATATCTTAGAGCTGAGCATTCTCTGTGAACAAATAAACTACCAAAACTGAATTTTAAATTAAATGAATTGAATTGAATTTTGCCGTCATTATCATTTTTGGTTGAAATTTAAAAGTCAATTGTTAAGATTTAAAGTGGTGTTCGGATGCGCGCTTACCTTTTAAAAAAAATTATTATAAACAAGTTTTAAAATCCACTATCAATTTACAAAATATTAATATCAAAGTAATTCACAGAGGACTAGAATTGAAAGATGGCCAAGGGAATCGAAGTGTCCAACAACGAGAAAGAGTTTCTATTTGAAGCATTGAAACAAGGAATAAGGCTTGACGGGAGAAAAACAGATCAGTTTAGAGATGTTGAAATCACTTTAGGTGATGAGTATGGTTATGTTGATGTTAAATTAGGTAAAACTAGAGTTGTTGCTCGTATATCGGCTGAAATAGTGACACCATATGAAGACAGGGCTTTTGAAGGTTTATTTCAAGTCTCTACCGAGATTAGTCCAATGGCTTCTGCAATGTTTGAAAATGGAAGACAATCTGATGATGAATTATTGATTACAAGAACTGTTGAGAAAGCTGTTAGAAGATCTGGTGCTTTGGATTTAGAATCATTATGTATAATAGCAGGATCTAAATGTTGGTCAATCAGAGCAGATGTTCATTTCTTAGATTGTGATGGTGGATTTATTGATGCTAGTTGTATTGCTGTAATGGCTGGTTTACAACATTTCAGAAAAAATGATATAACAGTTTCTGGTGAACAAATCATTGTACACCCCGTGGAAGAAAGAGCACCAGTAGAACTTTCCATATTACATGTTCCAATTTGTGTTACATTTGCATTTTATAATCCAACAAATGTGGAGGAAAATATAAAAGGTGATTCAAATAATGAAATTTCAGTTGTTGATGCCACATTACAAGAAGAATTATCACAAGATGGTACATTAACAGTAACAATCAATAAAAATAGAGAAATTTGTCAAATTACAAAAGCTGGTGGTCTACCAATGGATGCTTTAACATTAATGGATTGTAGTCGAAAAGCTTATACAATTGCAGAAAAAATTACAAATCAAATAAAGAATTTATTAGAAAAAGATTTTAAAAAACGTAATGAGGGTATACAATTTAGAGAATTAAAATCAAACAATGATAGATGAATGGTTAGTTATGATTGAAATAAATGAAATAATTAATATCAATTTACTGTATTGGTTGTTACCCGCGAATGTTATTACTATATAACTTTAACTCATTTTACTTACATTTATCGTATGGAATTACCATTACTCACTGATTCATCCTTAAAATTTAAACCAGTTATCCTACGGAATACTAAATAACCCACAAACCACTAAACAAGTCTCTTATTAAAACATAATGGAGAATGAGAAGAAAAGATCTATTGAGAGTGATTCCAATGCAGAGGATTTAAATCAAAATGATATAAATAATAACACAAAGAAATCCAAGAAATCTACTGATGATCAACATCAGACTCAGTTAAAGTTTAATTCAAATCATTATCTAGATGATATTTTCGACTTACGAACTAGAATGAAAACAAAAGATTTTGAAGTTTTGGTAAAATTTACCGATGCAAGTAGTTTCAAGTTATTTTGCTCTTCTAAAGAAGTATTAGAAATAATGGATATGAGAGATCAATATCAAAATTATGAATTATCTGATCAAGTTTTTTGTAAAATTTATGACATAGATTTATTAAAATTATTATTCAGAAATAAATCAAGAAGATATATTGCAGAGGAGTTTGATCAAGTTCATTTCAATATCATGGAATCATTAGAAGAAGTTAAAAATATTAAATTCTGGATTGATTATAATATGAAAAGGTTTTTGTTTAAAGAGCATATTGCCTTGAAAAGAATTGAAAGTTGGAATTCCATGAATGATGAATCAAACCAAATAAATACTGCCAAATTATTACAATATGGTTGGGCTGATGATTTTACAATGGGAGACGATAAATATTCATTATTTGGACCTTTTTTAATATTTGAAAAGATTGATTTCATTAATGATAATGAAATTTCATCTTCCAAACGTCGTGAAGAAAGTTTTAGAAAACAAGCTAAGTTATTAAAGAGATCTGGTATATCACATGGATCTTTGCATAAATATAATTATTGCTTTAATCAAGATGATGAATGTTTTATCATTGATTTTGGTAATTCTACTGTTGATGATGATTCAATTTTAGATGATATTTTTGATAAGAAGGATATTTGGCCAGAATAAGATTAAGATTAAACTCATAATAGTTAGAGCTTGTTTTGTTTTTAGCTAAAACTTTTATATGCCTCATTAGCTGAAATATAATATTAATATTATATATATAAATGAAATCAAAGATTTCAGTTGCTCGCTTCGCTCACAAAGTAGGGTATAGGTTTGATTCTTAATCCTAATGGTGGTAAAAATGATCGCGGTTTCTCAGCTTCTCAGCAAATAAGGTCATAGTCATAGATGTAGAGGGAAAATAATTAATTAGTTATACAATAGTACAAAACAATAACTTCTATTCATATCAAAATTCTTGTAATATTTATTCAAATATCAGTGTCATGATGTACTAATTTATCAATACTTACCAATTTACC